TGCTCACGTCTGTGTGTGTCTGAGCATGTCTGTGAGTGTGTGTGTGTCTGAGCGTGTCTGTATGTGAGTGTTTGTGCATGTCTGTGTGTGAGTGTGTGTGTGGTGTGTGTGTGTTCATGTCTGTGTGTCTGAGTGTGTGTGCGCATGTCTGTGTATAGCACATGTATGAGCGTGCCTGGTGTGTGCATGCACACGTTTGTACCTTCATGACACATGCCTGTGAAGACTGTCTTCGCCCCTTCCCCTTGTGGTGCTAGGCTGACGTTAGGCCTGAGTTTGCACTAACAGCAGCCCCTCCCCCACGTGGGGGCTCTTGCCCCTGGGGGTTTCTTCAAGGCCCACTTCTCTGTAGGAGCAGAAAGCCCTCTTCAGGCTCCTCTTTGCCTTGATTCAATCTGCATTTTAAAGGGGGGAGCAGTTATGTAGAGCAGGCCCCCCCCCCCCCCCCCCGGCAGCCTCCCTCTGCCCCTGTCCTGGAGGCCCCGTGGCCCCCCCAGCTGAGTCCCCCGGCTCCTGTTTCAGGTGCCGTGGCCAGCACCGAAGTCAAGATGAAGCTACAGGAGTTTGTCCTCAACAAGAAGAAGGCCCTGGCGCATCGCAATCTGAACCACTGCATCTCCAGTGACCCTCGCTACTGGTATGGGTAAGTGGAGGGCCACCGTGTCATCCTGGAGGTGGGGGCGGGTGCTCAGCACCATGGCCAGAGGTCTGGGGAGCCGCAGGCTGCCCCTCCTTTCCTCCCCTCCTCCCCCCCCCCCCCTCCCCCCCCCCCCCCCCTCCTCCTCTCCTCTCCCTCCTCCCTGCCTGCCCAGCCCTGCAGCCCCCAGCCCCCACAGGCTCCCCAACCCAGGTGTTCTTGGAGCTTGGCCTGAGGCAGCATGAACCGGGGTCCCAGGGTCTGCCTCGCTGCTCAGGGTCTTTACTGGGAAACCAGCTAGGGCTTCGGGAGGCAGTGACTACAGCAGACCCAGGGAATGCTAAGAGCACGGGCACTTTTAGTCTGGCACCTTCCCCACACCCTGTTCTGCCCGTCACGCATTGGCAGCCAAGGCCAAGCGAGAGCATGAGCAGAGCCGTCTTCCTCGCCCTCTCCGTCCGCGCCACCCGGCTGCCGCTCCCCGGTCCTCGGTCTGACGGAAGCAGGTTTCTTTACCTTAGTGGGGCTGACAGTCCCGAGTCACCACCTGCCGATCTCCCTCTCGCCCTGTGCCCCCCGTACAGGTCAGTGCGTTCAGCAGAGCCAGCCTGGCCCCGGCCCTGCCCTCAAGCGGCTTGGCTTTCGGGGACTCTTACAGCCCAGACCTCCCCCCAGCATAAGGGCAATGCACCCATGTGCGTCTTCATGTGCTGGCAGCTCGTAATAGTAGCTGACATATGTATGGTGCTTACTATGTGTCAGGCACCGTGCTGCGGACTGAAGCAGACAGAGATGAGGTGAGGTGACTTGCCCAGGGTCACGCAGCTAGTAAGTGCCTGAGACTGTATGTGAACTCAGATCTTCCAGTCTCCAGGCCCAGTGCTCTGTGCACCATGGCACCACCTACCTTCGTGTGTGGAACAGATGGTATTTAGAGCTTCTCAGGTACAACCAGCCATGGAGACAGAAGGAACCTTAGAAGCCTTCTAGTCTAAACTCCTGAATTTTCAGTTGAAGAAACTGAGGCCCAGAGGGTTGAGGTGACTATAAAATGAAGGGCAGACCCACAATTTGAACCCAGCACCTCCCCCTCCAAATCCCTCTGTCTTAGATGGTGTGTTGGACTTTTAGTGCAAGCTCTAAATCAGCAAAAATCCCAATCCACCCATTGCCCAGACGAAGGGTCTTGGAACCAGCCGGAAGGAGGGTCTGAAGCCCCCAGGGGCCTTGGCAATAGCACTAGACTGGACGTCCCCCGAGGGCCTCCTCGGACAGATGGCTTTGCTCTGGCTGCTGACTGGTATCAACTGGCATCGACTGACCCGAGCTGAAGGTCCTCGCCTTGGGGGACTGCCCTTTCCTGTCTCCCCAATGCTAGGCGCAGTGCCTGACTCGTCCAGGTGCTTAGTGAATGTGGATTAACCAATCCACTGCTCAGCTTGGCCACAGTGCCCCACGCCCCCAAGCTCATGCTTCTTCGTGGGTCAGGGGCTCCCCCTCCTGTGGGCAAAAGTGGCAGCTCCGGTCCTCCCACTGAGAAAATCAGGGAGGACGGTGAAGAAATCCTGAGTGGCCTGGGCACTCTGGGTGCGAGGCAGAGTTCAGGGAAATTGGAGGCTGGTGAAGGCGGAGGGGAGAGCCAGATTTTAGTGCAGGCGGAATGGAGGAGAGGAAAAGTGGGAGGGATTTCAGGGGCTGGGGGCTCCGTGTGTCAGCACCCTCCTCCCAGGATCCCTTTGGAAGTTCCGTGATTATTGGCTTTTCACCCAGTCTCCCCCGACCCCAAATCCTGCTTAGTTAAGGGTGGTCAGGAGTGTCTAGTCTGACTGTCTCACAGAGGTCAGTGGAGACCCAGAGTGGGAACATGACTGCCCCAAAGTCACCCCAGTGGTCGGGGGCAGGGCAGCTGCGTGATACAGCGGGCCTTCCCCAGACCTCTGTTCTCTAGGACCCCCTAGTAAGGCAGAGCCCCTGAACAGGCTTGCTTTGGGTGAGAAAGGTGAACCCCAAAAGGGCTTAGCTAGTGAGGACACTGGGGAGAGAGAGGAGAGAGACAGAGGCTCAGAGAAGGAGGGAGACGGAGACCCGGAGAGAGAGGCCCCTTGGCTGGTCTGTCAGAGGGGAAGGGAGCTTTGAAAGCTCTCCGTCAGGAGCGTCCCGCTTTGGCTGCTCATTCCCTTCTCATCAAGAAAGACGCGGTGAAGGCCGTTCCCTTCCCAGCCTCAGTTTCCTCATCTGTACAATGTGGTGGTAGAGGGGAGGAATTCCAAGGTTCCTCCCGCCCTGCGACGTCGGGGCCCAAAGGTGAAGAGCCCAGACTTACGCCTCTGGGGCTTCCGTCAGGGCGCGGGAAGACCGGGCCTCTGAGGACGTGGGCCCTCAACAGGCTCTCCCCCGGTAACCCCATCTCCCTGGTACCTGCAGGTGCGGGCATTTGCCTGCTCAGATAAGTCAGCAAATTGGCAAGTTTGCTTCAGGTCATGAAGTCGATTAGGTTCATCAAAAGATGTTTAAGATGCAAGCAGGAGCAACAGTTGGCAAAGCGGGCGGCTGAAAGGTGTGTGTGCCTCCGTGACCCCCAAACCCCCTTCTCTCCTCACGGCTGAGAACACGCTGAAAGGGGCCTGGAGCCGTCTTGTCCAACCCCTTCTTTGTACCGAGGAGGAAACCGAGGCCCAGGCAGGGAAGGCTGGCCCGCAGCCCGCAGAGCACTGCCCCTGACCTTCTCTTCTTCCCACCCACTTTTCAGCAGGATGAGGGTTGGACATTCTCCTCTCCCCATCTGCTTTATATTGTGCTATACGTATTGCTTCTCACAGGAGTAAATGCAGATAACTCAGAATGAATTCCAAGCCAGCCAGTCCCTTCTAGTCTCCCAGGGGTGGTCAGCTTTCCAGTGAATCTGCCCTGTGGAGTGCAGGCCTTTATCAGGTGTGGGGCCTGCCCTCAGGGAGCTTCCATTCCACATAAATCAGCATGTCTATGCTCCGAGCACAGTGGACGTAAGTGGACATAAGGTGGTCGGGGGCCCAGGAAAGGCTCCAGGAGGAGGGCGGTGCTCAATCCCACTCTGTAATGAAGAGATGGGTTTTTGGAGGCGGAGGCAGGAGGAGAAAGCATTCCGGCCATGAGGCATGGCTGTGAGGGAGGCAGAATCGAGGCGGGTTTAGCCGCACCGGGCCCGCCGCTGTGGGCACTCTCTTTCCTTGGCCCTCGGCAGGGAGTGACGGCATGAGTGGAGCTCTCTGAGACCCCGAGGTGGGCGAGCGTCGCCGCTGGCATGTCAGTCGGACCCTCTGGCCAGCTAAGTTTTCTTTCCTCTTTTTCCCATCTGCAGGAAAACTCAGCACAGCTCCTTGGACCAGAGCTCCCCCCCACAAAGTGGGGGCCCCGCAGCCTACAATCACCCCGTGCTGGGGATGTACGACTCCAAAGACGACTTTCCTCTGAGAAAAACAGGTCAGTGTCCTGACCCGGCAGCGCGTCCTCGTCCGGGGACAGCTGAGAGCGGGGGCTCCTGCACGGGGAAGCGTCAAGGGTGGGGTTAGGGGCGTTCCCCCATGTCCAGGCTGATCCCGGAACTGCCATGAGATGCCACAGACTCACGCGGCTGCAGCCCTGGCATTTCTCCTGACCCGGCTCTGAGTGTGGCGGTCAGGGCGCTGGGGGCCGCGTGGCCCAGTGCCCTCAGACGTGCCTCCCTTGGGGCCACGCGCATGCGTGGGTGGACGTGGAACCTCCAGACCTTCAGACCTAGATCCGGACCTGGACATCCAATCCTTCCCCCATCTTACAGATGAGTAAACCGAGGCCCAGTGACTGGCCCACAATCACAGAGCTAGGCAGTAGGAGAGCCAAGCTTCGAACCCAGGTCCCCTGATCTGGTCAGACTGATGCAGGGAGTTAGAAGCAGCCTTCGAGGCCAGCCTGACTCATTTTGCAGACGTTGGCACTGACGCCCCCAGAGGTTAAGGGGCCGGCCCAAGGCCACCCAGGGAAGAAGTGGTAGTGCCAGGCACAGGGCTGGGCACCTTGGGGGGACACTTGCAACAACTGTGTATAAGCAAGGTACAGGATACATCGGGGAGAATCCACAGAGAGAAGGCGCCAAGAAGAGGGAGCTGCGTTCGGTTCTTGGTCACTCGTTCAGCCGCGTCCCTCCGAGTCTCCGTGACCCCGTCTGGGGTTTTCTTGGCAAAGATCCCGCAGTGGTCTGCCGTGTCCTTCTTCATATCATTACAAATGAGGAAACTGAGGCAAACAGGGTCACACAGCTAGTGAGGGAGACCGGCTTCGAACACGTGGCTCTGTGCACTGTGGCGCCTCCTAGCTGCCTCAATAGCAGTAGTGGTAGCTGACACTTCTGTGGCACTTAACTGTGTGCCGGGCACTGTTCTAACCACTTTATCAACCCTCGGAGGTGCAGCTGTGGTCCCCTTTTACAGATGAGGAAACTGAGGTAGACAGATTCAAAATGAGTGCCCTCTCCACTGGGCCACCCAGCTGCCCACTAACCCAGAGGGGGAATTGGGAAAGTATTTCTGTAGGAGGTGGGGTTTGGGGGGAGATGAGAGAGAGGGTGCCGGGCATGGCACATGCCAGTGCACACGCCCCGAGTCAGGACGTGGAGGGTCTTGGGTGGGGAGCAGGCGGAAGAGGAGGCCAGGGTCCCCAGATCAGAGGAGTTGGGCGGGTGGGAGGGGGCCGGGCAGGGAAGGGCTTTAAAAACAGCAGAGAAGATTTTGTCTGGTTCTGGCAGTGATGGGGAGGTGCTTGGGGGGGGGGTCAGACTTGGGCTGCAGGGACCCCAGGCCCTGGGACTTTGTTAAGGGGAGGGCTCCCTGGCCGCCTCGGAGAAGCTGAGCGTCCCCCCTCCCCAGCCCCTGTCTTCTGAAAGCCGGTCGGTCACTGCCTCTTATGTTGCTAAAAGCTCCCAAATTGGGAGGGTTCCTGTTTCCCTGGTAAGCATGAGCGCCTGGGCTTGTGAAATAGTTTTAAAAATAAAAAAGAGAAGAAGGGGGGGAGGGGCAGGGGCAAGTGGCCGGCTGTCCAGCCAGCTGCTCGGGCCCGGGCCCCTCCTCTCCCCTGGCCAGTGCAGCTTCTCTCAGAAGAAACACGTGACCCAGACTTGAGTCAGCTCTCGGGAGCATTCCTGGAAAAGGCCTCCTTTGTGAGCCAGTGCCCAGGCCCCCAGCTGTGGCCAGCTCGCTCCTTCCTGTGTGGTGGCCCTCGGGCTCGTCCGGGAAGGCTCGCCCCCTGGGCCCAGCCGCCATCTTGCCCTTCCCTGCTCCCCAGTCGCTCCGACCGCCCATTTGTGCTGCTGTGGGAGAGGAGCCTGAGTGGAGCGTGGGTGATTCAGAAAGCCACAGAGCGAACGTTTATATCATCTGCAAAGAAAGGACTGGCCCTGCCAAGGCTTGTGTAAACCCCGGTTCAAGGGGAATGTTTAAACTACTTAGAAGGCAGCCTTTTCAAGCACCCTCAAGTGTCTGAGAAGTATCTATTTACAAATAGTTGGTAGGCCAGTTCTCCGTCCTCCTTCTCCCTTCCTAGAAGCCGGTCCCCCAGGATCCTCACCAGGCAGCCCCTCGTTAACTTGGCTCTGGTTAGAGGACGCTCTCAAAAGAACATTAGGTAATATTTGTGTAGTCATTCAGCAAACATTTATTAATGGGAGTCCCAGGCCCTGCATGCAGGGAGCCTCAGCACCTTCCTGAGCTCCTAGAATCGCCCCTCCCTATCCCCGTGGGCCTTCCTCACCATGAATCTGAGTCAACATTCCCATCCAAAGTGCCCGAGTGAGTGACGTGACACCTCCTGGGGCCAAGCCCAGTACTCAGCCCCTGAGACGGCCCCTGCCTTTAGAGAGCTTCCATTCTGTTGCAAAGTGCAGCTGGATTTTCTGGTTATCGAACACCCTGGTACTTTTTAATCTAGGAGGCTTTACATTTGCCCAATGAACCCGTGAGAGAGGGGATACAGTCCCATTTGACAGATGAGTAAATGGAGGCTTAGAGATTAGGTGGCTGGGGAGGATGGTGGTGACTCGTGGCATCTAGGTGTGTCTCATTTGTGGCCTTAGTTCATCTTGACGGATTTCAGTGGCTGGGACCACCAGGGACTTTGGAGATCAGATCCTCCTTGCCCACCCGCTCATTTTATTGATGGGAAAACCAAGACCCAGAAAGACCCCTTCCCACCCTGAACTGAGACATTCAGCCAGCAGGGCTGAGACTAGACCCCTAGTTCTCCAGTGGGGATGCCAAGGCCACTGGGAGTGAGAAGCGCCAGGTTTCATGGGGTCTTTGGGATGGGAGGGGGGCTTTAGTCCTCCTCGGGTCCAAAACGCTAATGCACACGTGACTCCCCCCTCTCTCAACTCTGCTGGAATACCGCCAGTGAGGGGACCGGGAACGTGCTTTATTTGGATCAGAGCTAACTGAGAGCACCTCCTTCCTCATTGGAAACTGAAATCTTCCCCTCTGTAACCTCTTCCTGTTTGCTCCTGCCCCTTGCCTGGGCCCACCCTCCAGCCCTCCTCCCCTCCCCTCCCCATTGGTCCCCACCCTCACCCTTCTGGACACACATGCTCTACTTTGTCAGCATCCCTCATAAAACCCAAACTGAGTAATCCTGTAGGCATGCGTGGTCTGACCAGATCCGGCCAGCGGGAAATGAAACCTTCCTTGTGGATGCTGCGCTTCTGTTCTGTTACTTACAGGAACAACATTGGGGGACCAGGGTCAAGGTGATTCACAAACCTCACCATCCACTAAAACCACCAGTTCTCTTGTTTCGGGTGTTCCCGTGTCAGCTGTTGTCCTTTCACAGACCTCTACATGAACGGTTGATTTGTTTAAATTTAATTTAATTTTATTTCCAAATGAAGATTGACCTTCGCTGTGTGTCGTCCCCGGCCCCCCCACAATTGAGAAAGCAAAAATAATAACAAAACTTGTTTCTGAAGTGTGCTGTCACCTTTAGCAGGCCAGATTCCCGCCTGCCTCGGTCCCCCCTCAGACTCCATCGGCCGTGTCGGTCATCACATCTCCGGAGTCGTAGCTTGGCTGGTCATTGCACTGGCCTTTCAGGCCGTCTGTCTCTACAACATTCTGGTTCTGCTCAGCTCGCCCTGCTTCAGCACACACAGGTCCCCTCCATTTCTTTGAAATTGCTTCCTTCATTTTTTACAGCACAATGGCATTCCATCCCACTCATACACCACAACTCCCTCGTGTGTGCCCCAGTGGATGGGCGTCCCCTCTGTTCCCAATTCTTTGCCACCACAAAGAGCTGCTCAAAATAGTTTTGTCCATGTAGGTCCTCTTCCTCTTTTTTTGATCTCTGGAAGGTAAAGACCTAGTAGTGGTATAGATGGGTCAGAGGGCGGGCACCATTTAATAGCTCTGGGGGCATTGTTCCAGATTACTTTTCAGAATGGCTGGACCAGTTCACAGCACCACTAAGTCATCAATAGACCTGTTTTCTCCAGCCCTGCCACCATTTGTCTTTTTTTTTTTTTTTCGGAAGTGTGGAAGGGGTCAACATTTCCAGTAGGAGGGTATGAGATAAGATTTCAGAGTTTTTCTAATTTGCATTTCTCTAATTAGGAGTGATTCAGAGCATTTTTTTTCCCATATGGGTACTAATAACTTAGATTTTTTCTTCTGAAAACTCCCCATTTACATCTTTTGACCATTTATCGATTGGGGAATGGCTCTCGTTCTTACAAAGTCTTATAAATTTGGATCAGTTCCCTATATGTCTTAAAAATGAGGCATTGATCAGAGTAACTCGCAGCAAAGATTTTTTTCCCCGCTTAGCTGCTTTTGGGCTGTTTATTTTTTGGGCCTAAGTGAAGGACTTTGCATTTATCCTCCATGGCAGTCTTCCATTGATGTCGATTTATTCCATTGTTTCAGTTGACTCCCATCATCATCTCAAAGGTCGTGTCCTATCCAGCAAACTGGACAGCTCTTCCGGGTGTGTGTTAACAATTAATCTTCCTCTAAGTCAATGGGTCTTGGATGCTGAAGGCCATCCAGTCCCATTCCCCCATTTTACAGAAGAGGAAACTGAGGCAAACGAAGGTGACGTGACTTGCCAGAGATCACACAGCTAGGAAGTGTCTAAGGCAAAATTTCAACTCTGATGCACTCATCAGTAGCCATCTGTAATGTACTTTTTCAGACAGAGAATGTCAAAGAATTGTCTTGGAAACCTCATCTCTCCCTTTTCTTGACTAGTCAGTGACTGTATTTTCCAAATTCTGTGCTTTCGGCTACACCCCTCTCCAGCTGCCTTCACTCGCAAAGCCTTGTTTTTCTCAAGTTTAGAATGTGTGCTAGTGTGCGCCCAGGGCTCTCCTCCCAGATGTCCCTCGCTCGCGGTCTGCTTCAGTGCCCGTCTCTGTCTGCCGTTCCTTCTTGTCCGTCAGAATTGGATTGAGAGGAGCGGCG